AGGAAGGAAGGAAGGAAGGAAGAAAGAAAGGAAAGAAAGAAAGAAAGAAAGAAAGAAAGAAAGAAAGAAAGAAAGAAAGAAAGAAAGAAAGAAAGAAAAAAAAAAACAAAAAAAAAAACAAAATCAAGCCACTAGACAGGTATATTCTCCACTTCCTGCCACCTGATCCACAACCCACACATAACCTCACCCTTCCCTCTTCCTCTCTGGACAATGGAAGAGGCGTACTTCCTCTTGTCTGGGACTAATCTCACCACTTAGCCAGCTGTACCATCCACTTGAGTGTTTCCCAACTACAGCAGGGAAGAGCCTTCATCTAGGTTCGGATCACCGTGTGGCTACACAGCTTTGTGCAACCCTGGACAAGGGAGCTGACTTCATCTTGACTTCCTTGTCTAGTACAACAAAAGGTCAGAGCCACACTGGGATGTTTCAGTTCTCACGCAGGTAGGGAAGGAGCCAGTGGGTTAATTTGCTTATCGTGGCGTGAAATCCTATTGGTCACATAAGCAGATGTGCTGATGAAGTCCGCAGCTGCCCCAAGGGGCAGAAGAAAGATTCAGTACAGTTGTGGGTTTTGCACACTGCCTCCTTCTTTCCTCAGATAAGTAAACATGCCATTTCCTCTCAATCAGCCTCAGTTTCCCAATCTGTAATCCCAACATGAGGTAATGTCTACAGACTTTCCGGGACATACACACCCTTTGGTTTCCATTCTCTTCCAGACATACTGACTGGCCTCTCCGTGGTCTCACATCTGCCAGACCCTTCTACCCCAGAGCTTCCATTTAAAAAGGATTTGCTTTTATTGTATTTTTATTATGTGTAGATAGGTGTTTCTGTTTGTGTGTGTGCACATGAGTAAAGTGCCCTAAAAGGCCAGAAGGGGGTGTTGGAGCTGGAGCTGTGAGCAGCCTGAAGTGGGTGCTGGGAATCAAACTCCGCAAGAGAAGTACTCACTCTTACCTCTGAGGCATCTCTCCAGCCCCTGCTTCTTTCCATGTAGTCTCTTAATATATGACACATAATTGTAATTACATACTACATTTATTTTTGTTTCCTTTCAGAATCCAAGATAGGGATTTTTCTCTTATTTGGCCAATTTTATTCATTGCTATGCCCCTAGTGCCTGGAATCATGCTGGCTAGATACACTTTAGTGCTTAAGTAAATGTTAGTTCAAAGCACTGAGGCAGAGGAAAGGTAGGTAGGTTAGAGACTAGAAAGAGTGGGAAGGAAGATGCTAGCCTGTATAAAGAGCGGAGCCAGAGGGCTGAGGATGCGGCTCAGTGGGTAGAGTGCCCGTCTAGCATTTGCCCGTCTAGCCTGCACCCGTCTAGCATGTGCCTGTCTAGCAGGCATGAAGCCCTGGGTTCCATCCCCAGCACCAGATAAACCAGGCATGGTGGTGTATGCCTGAGATCCCAGAATTCAGGAGGTGGAGGCCAAAAGATCAGAATGTTCAAGGTCATCCTCTGCTGCCGAGCAAATTTGAGGCCAACCTGGACCACATGACACCCTATCTCAAGATGAAAATAAGAAGAACACAGCTGGGAAAGCTGGGCATGGTAGAGCACATCTGTAGCTCCAGCACTTGCACAGCTGAAGCAGGAAGACAAACCCATCTTTAAAAACCAGGGGTGGAGCCGGTGAGGTGGCTCAGTGGATCAAGGCACTTGCTGCCAAAGCTGACCACCTGAGTTCCATCTCCAGATCCCCGCATGGTGGAAGAAGAGAATTAAATCCTATAAGTTGTCCTGTGCACCTTCACACACACACACACACACACACACACACACACACACACACACACACACACACACACACTTTTTAAAGGAGTAAGTTGGAGAGTAATCAAGGAAGACACCCAACATCACAGCTTACACATCAGCTTACAAGCTCTAGCTTACGCACATATACATACATCACACACACAGGAAGGAAGGGACAGAGGGAGGGAGAGAGAGAGAGAAGAAAAGCCTGTGAGCAAGTTGGGTGACACTGAGGGAACACAACAGCGTGGACACACAGTCCCACTGACATGTCCTGAAAAGCAGCCGAGAGGAAAAGGCACAGGGCAGTACTGCTCTCTCTGTCTTCCAGACAGCAGTTGTTCCTTCCTCTTCTCCCTTCACAGCTTTCCTCAACTCTTCCCCACCCCACACACCTTTCAAACCCTTTATTCCCAAAGATGTTCTTTGCTGTTCTTGTCCTCCAAGGCCACTACCCCATTTAACAGTGTTTCAGAGCTGGGCTGGAGAGACGGCTCAGCAGTTAAGAACACTTACTGCTCTTGCAGAAGACCCAGGTTCAGTTCCTGGGCCCTACATAGTGGCCCACAACTATCTGAAATTCCAGTTCCTGGGATCCAATGCCCTCTTCTGACCTCTGTGGTCACCAGGAACACGTGTGATATGTACACACACATGCAGGTAAAACGCTCGGGTGGTGGTGAGGAGATGGTTCCATGCTGATGGCTGGATGCCCAAGCATGAGCATCTGAGTTCAAACTTCCAATATCCACATTAAAACCCCAGGTTTGGCTGCATGCAAGCCCGTAACTCCAGTGATTTAGTGGTGAAGACAAGAGGCCCTCGGGGACTTGATGGCTGCGAGCCTGGCACCAGGCTCAGTGAGAAGCCCTCCCTGAAAGGAATAGAAAGAGAGCAATAGAGAAGGACACCAGACATCCTCCTCCGGCCTCCCCCTGCACACAGCCATGTGCACCCACATGTGTGCACACTCCACACATGAACTACACCAACTGTACAACAGATGACTAAACAACGTGTCTCAGCTCCCAGGACACTTCCTCATCATCCTCCTGGCTCCCTCACTGCTCCTTCTGAGCCCCCAGGTTGCTCCTCCTTGCCCTCCAAGTTGTGAGCTTCCATGGGTCTCCATGATGCTCCTTCTTCCTGTTGGACTGACTGCGTATGCTCTGGTATCCTTGACACAACACTGGCTCTAGCCAGACGCCTTCCCAGAGTCCTTTGTGAACATGCTGAAGTGCCCTATGCTCCCGTCTAGGAACCCCACATAAGGCCATCACCTGATCCCCTGCAGCATCTAACCCTTGTCTGTCTTTCTCTTCTCTTCCAGCCTCTGTGCACACCATCCTGCTGTTGACAATCTCCGCTACGCTTCCTCACATCACTCACCATCCTGGGAAATTCCTCTTTGTCTGCAGAACCCTGGAACTTGCCTGGGGCTCTAAGAGGATTGAGTTTCTTGTTGACCTACCCCACCAGAGAGTGCGCTTGAAACTTGTTCATTAATGCATTCATTAATGCATTCACTCATTCATTCATTCATCACAAATTGTTAAGTAACCATGCCGTGGAAATCAAAATGATGCTGAGCAAGTTGAGTGAGAACCTTGGGAGTTCAGAGTCTGGTGGGAAGAGGAAGAGGGCGCTTCTGTGACAAGACTCTGATGGGCTGACAGGTCATGGAGGCTTCTCTCCTTCATGGCTTCATCTCCAACCTTTTGCCAGCAGCCTCTTCCTCTTCTTCCTAGTCTCCCTCCTCCTCTTCTTCTGGCATGGAACTATATCACCCAGGGTGGCCTCAAACGCATGGTAATCCTCCTGCCTTAGCCTCTTAAGTGCTGGGATTACTGGTGTGAGCCACCATACCCACCTCTCAGGGTGTTCTTCTGGTGAAAAGGAATCCTATTGTGTTTCAAACTTTTCACGGAGATGACTACACACTCAGCCTTAGTTTCACAGGTAGGAAGGAGAAACCCATGTGCCGTCCCCCCAATCCCCCCAACAGTAACATCTGCCTACCTAGATCCCAGTACAAGGCCCGGAGACAGACATGCCAAGCTTACTTACAGCTCCTTCAAGGGCATCCATCTGAATGTGTGTACATGTGTATGTGGGTTTCTCCGACATTTTCCCTTGTGCAGAACCCAGCATGAACTGTCACAGTGGGGCTGCCCCCCCCCCCCCCCCCCCCCC